TAATTTGAGATTGTGATTTTACAACCTGAATTTCTATACACATTTTAAAAACTGCCTACTTCAGAATAAGAAAATAAATAGTATTGGGTATATGTGAGTGGTTGACGACATTGAAATAAGAGGCAGAGGGTTACTCATAATGTTTTCTTGATGCACGTGATTATTATTATGCTTTTCAAAGTGATTACTACTGGGCTTTTGAAGCCAGTGAAATAATTAATGCACCTACTCACATTAAGTCGTAGGAAAACAAATGCTGTAATTTAGTATGAGACAAACAAAATCCTAACCTACCTCAATATTTCTCCCGGCTTGGGATGCATTTCTCTCATGCTGGATGGGAATTAGAGGCAAACCTCCGATTTTGGGATTTTTGGTTATCGAACGTTTTCGTTCCTTCCCAGCTGGTGGCCATATATCATTTTCATGCTGTGGAAACACAATTTCTTGCTGTTGGTGTGTGATTTTATTATGCAGTATACCATGTTATATAGTCACTTGGCTCCTTTTCCATATATCCACATCAAATGATCTGCTTTCCATGAGAATGCCATTTGTAATCGTGATGTTGANTATGCATGGAAAACATTTAAAAATCTAATCACTAGATTAAAATGTCTTTAGTCTTTCAAAAGTCATTTCTATTTAGAGAGCAAGAGATTCAAATAGTGTCATAATAAATGTAGGTTCCAAGAAGATATAACACCACCTTTTTTTGGGGGGGGGATCGGTAAAGGAATTGCAACCTTTGGCTTGGTGTTGTCCGCACCACACTCAGCCAGTGAGTGCACCGACCATCCCTATATAGGATCCGAACCCGTGGCCTCAGTGCTACCAGCACCACACTCTCCCGAGTGAGCCATGGGGCTGCCCAACACCATCTTTTAAATGTTTTTCTTTTTGCTTTGAGGGACTCAATTAAGGCACTAAAACACACATTAGTTTCAACGTGGCTAGGGAGTTCTGAGAGTAAACTGCCTATGTCCTTTCCTGAAGAAACTGAACTTCATATCAAGATGGATGTCACCTATGTTCTCCCACCCCTCAAGGTGAGAAAAAACAAATAACAGCCTTCCTGAAACATGCCAAGCCTATACTGATGCTCAGGGGTCATCTCGCGGTTCCTTAAATTAATCAAGACAGCTCATCAGTTCTCAAACCACTGGAATTTGATCATGTTACTAGGAAGTCCAGTTACCATGGCTCCAGACATATTCTGCCATGAGATCACTCTAAGGGTATTATAAGAAAACTTGTAAGACTAATTTGAGATTGTGATTTTACAACCTGAATTTCTATACACATTTTAAAAACTGCCTACTT